ATAAATAAAATAAATAAATAAATAATATAGTAGTCTTTTTCATTACAAAATGCTATAAGCAGTTGGTCTGTTGAGAAATAGTAGTTTGGCTGGAGCTAAGTGCAACAGGGTGTATTCTGTGCACTCCTGGTTTTTCTGAACACTTGTAGAATCTAGCATAGAGTTTAATAATTCATAAATATTTTGCATGATGCTTCTTAATTAAAAAAAACGTTCTGATCTTTAGAATTGTGAAGATAAGAATGCAAATGAGTAACTTCTGATGTCAGTTTGGATACATCAGTAGACTGATTCAATAGATGCATTCCTTTTAAGTGCACCTCTTGCTCTTACAGATGTGCCTACATATACTGCACATGTGCATGCACATGGGTGTACATACAGATGCATTATGTGGCAAAACATTGGGGGGTTGTTTTCTAGGCAGCAGTTTCTGTCACAATAAATTCCCAGTATTATTCAAGTAGCCAGGCAAATGTTTACACTATTTTTCCCATGGGGATCTTTGAATAAGCACATTTCATAACCTTGTTAAGCCCTGCTAGATAAATGCTTAACATCAAGTGCTACTTCTATATTTTCTGTAGTGGGTTCTCGAGACAGCTGATATTGTTGGAGCCAAAGTGAGTTCCTTCCTTACTGTAACTTAAAAGGGTTCTTAAAACATTTCTTTCTACCCAGGCCTTTTAGAATTTTTAAGAATTTGTTTTAAGAGTTTTCTTAGCTCTATTCTTTAATATTTTTCCGGCATTGGCTGCCAAGAGCCACTAATGGGAGTGATGGTATATAAAATTTTAAAATAAATAAAATCAACATGAAATCCTTTTCTGTACTTTTCCTGCAATTCACTCGATGTCTTTTACCTTTCTCCTTAACCTCACACTCCAAGGGCCACCAATAGGTTGGATTAATTAAAAAGCTGTTTAACTGCTTCATCTTTTCCAGTGGAAGTAGACCACAGAGTTAATAGCTAGGTCCAACAGGATGATTAAGTGTGATGGAGAATATGTGACATGGCACCTGGAGTCACTATTCTGCTATCTTCCCATCTCAGCTTATCAAATTAATCTAGAACAATGGAAGGCAATGTTTTGGTGGCCAGAGGTTGTAGTTATCATTTCTGGGGAGCCTGAGGGTCACAGTAGGCGAGATAGCGATGCGTAACATGATGCATAACATGTGGAGCTAATTGTTCCTTGGTCTGGGGGACAGTTCTGGGATGGGTCTTAGTTATTTAAACTCTTGTAGGATTTTTGCTACAGTTATGTGTTTTTTGCTTCAAAATGATTAGCTGTCTTACCACCAGCTTTCAGCAGGAGTGCTCAGAGAAGGCTCTGGGCTCTAAAAGAAGAAGCTTGGGGATGGAGTGTGGCTCTGGGGCCACAGGTTGTTCATCCTTAGTATAAAACTCAGTTGCTATAGGTTAGCTGAGATAGCCAAAGCATAACATAGGGTAAGGTAAAAAAGGTTATTCTGAATTCCTTTGGATTATAGTTTACTGTTAGATCATTTTCCCCGTTTACAGAATACAAAGAACATGTTATTGCAGTCAGTGAGACAGATGTGTTCTGCTAACTCATCATAGTTGGCCAACTAGTGTAATAGGCAGGTAGGTTATTTTTATATGCTGGAGACTACATTGTAAGAAGCAATATTACCTCCTTTCAATGTATGTATGTATGTATGTATGTATGTATGTATGTATGTACAGTACTAACTGAAGGAAATGTTAGTTATGGATTTATATTATCTAACTTTCCTAACTTACTCAGGAAAGGGGGTTTGGTATTTCTTTGGAAAATTCTGATCAAAGAATGCTCAAATGGACTGTTTGATGGCATTTTATGAAACCATTAGTTGAGAAGGTACAGTCTGTAAATGGTAGAGCTAGAAAAGAAATACCATAAAGTAAAAAAGCCTCTTCCATTCAGTGTTTTCTGCATATAATTATTAAGTGGTTCAAGCATTGTGCTGACATCTAACTCAAAATGAGAAACTAATATGCTAATACAGGTAGTCCTCACTTAATGACCACTTGTTCAGCAACTATTTGAAGTTACAGTACAACAGTGCTGAACAAGTAGCACTTACAACTGGTCCTCATAGTTGCAGCTATTGCAGTGTCCCTGTGGTCATGTGATTGTGATCCAGCCACTTGGTGCCTGGCTTGGTGTCTGGCTTGCAATTACGTCACATCATCCCATGGTCATGTGATTGCCATTTGAGACCTTCCCTGCTGGCTTCCCACAAGCAAAGTCAATGGGGAAACCAGCAGGAAGTCAGAAGTCAAGGTCATGTGAGGTCCTCACTTAATGACCCACAGTGATTCACTTAACAACAGCAACCAGGACTGCTGGAACTGCTGTCGCTAAGCAGTGAGGTCACTTGACATTGCACTTAACTACTGCGCCACTGAGTGACTGAGTTTCCAGTCCCAATTACCGTTGTTAAACAAGGACTACCTGTAATATAATTTAATAGCTAAATTGATTATATTCATTGTCTTGCAACTACATTTACCACATTTTATCTCTATTTCATGAATTCCTCTCCAGATAATTTCAGTTATAGATTCATAAAAAAAAATTATAGTTAATGATCAAGGATAATTATTGGCTATAAATGATTAGCTCTGTGCTCTGATGGAGTGTTGTATACCTTGAGGAATTCCAATAGATATGAGAGAACTTAACTCAGGGTTTCCCAAAATGGTCAATATTGACCCCCAAGGATTGATGGGACTATTCGAGGGGTCAATAAATGTCTGAGGATTAAAAGGGGGTCAGTAAATGCCTGGGGGTCAATAGGCTGTTGATAAATGATGGAAGGTCAATTGGGGTCAATTAATCTTTTGGGGTCTCTGTAGAGCTCTCCAGTTTGTAACTTCATGAAGGGGTTGATGTGCTGAAGAGTTTGGGGACCCCTCCCTTAATCCATCCTCCAGACCTAAACTTTCAGTCATAGTGCTGACACGGGGCTGATCCACACAACCATCTGCCATGCTTTGTTCCTGTCTTGAAGCTGGGAGGAGATAACATTGGCATAAATCATACTATCCTCACATGCCTTTGATGCACTTCCAGAACAGGGAAATGTTGTGTTCCTGTCTATACAAATCTTCCTCATCATAATAAGTGTAGTGATTGTCAGTTTTCCTGGTTGAAATTTAAGCCTCAATCACTGTTGATCAAACACCAACTGCCATATAGAATGTGTGCCAGGGTGGGGCTTCTAAGATCTGCGAGCATCATCCAATCACTTTTGTTTTCTAACTTTTTCCCAAGGGACTGTTGACCTAACAATCTCTAGATAGCAGCAAAGCATTTGTCCCTTTTAACTGCAACATAGCAGTTGCCTGGATTTGTGCAACCAAGATGCAGCCACTGCAAAAGTGTTCTTGGAGTCTGAGTTCAATAAAGAAATGTTGATGCGTGTAAAAGAGGTGTTCAGCTCTGATGCCCACTTTGGCACATCCACAGAAATTCCCCAAGACCTGCTAACCAATCAACCTATCAGCCCCTAGTGACAACAGAAAGTAGATGGCTGTTTTTTCTCTCATGGCTGTTTTTCTGGGTGTAGATGTTAGAAAGTTAATGAGGGCCATGAGATGGCAATTATATTGTTGTTATTTATAGCAATTGTTGTCCTTCACTGCTGCTGTATTATTTA